GAGAAAACCAGGAGAAAGAAAAAAGAGGAAAAGGAAGAAAAAGAGAAAGAAGAAGAAGAAGAGAAAAAGGATGAAATATAAAATAGAGAAGAGAAATGAAAAAAAAAGAAACGAGGAAAAAGAAGAAAAATGAAGTAAAAAGAAAAGAAACAAGAAAAATGAAAGTAGAGAGAAAAAGACGAAAGTGATAAAGCGAAGACCAGGAAGAAAGAATGAAAAAAAAAAAAAAAAGAGAAGGAAAGTATATTAAAGCGAGAAGAGAAGACAGCTAGTTAGTTAAAGAAGATCGAAGAGAGGGAGATAATTGTTTGCAGAAGAAAGCAAAGAAAGGGGAGAGAGTAAAAAATGGGAAGAGAAAAAATAACGAAGAGAAAATGAAAGGGACGAGAAAGAAGTAAAGAAACAAGCAGGTAAAATGTCGGAAGAATAAATAAAGAAGAAAGAAAAAAATGAAGGAAAAGTGAAAAAAAGAAATGATGATAAAGAAGAGCAGAAAGAAAAGAGGGTTTAATAGGGAACGAAAGAAAATGATTAGTCAAGCTGAGAGAGAATGAAAATGGAGGAAAGAATAAGATAGAAACAGAGAAAGAAAACGGAAAATTAAAAAGCTTAACAGCTTAATTATATCAATGGCAAAGGGAAAGAAAGAAATTAAAAAATGTTGAAGAAGAAGAAGAAGAAGAAGAAGAAGAAGAAGAAGAGGAGGAGGAGGAGGAGGAGGAAGAAGAAGAAGAAGAAGAAGAAGAAGAAGAAGAAGGTGGTCATAAATGAAGACGAAGAAGAAAAAAGAAAAGAAATCACAAGAAAGAAACGCAAAAAGAGAAAAACACTAGTAAGATACAGAACAAGAAAACAGATGGGAATGAAATAAAAGATGAAGAGGAAAAAGAAGAAGAAAAGGTAATATAGCCAGAAGTAGAATGTACACACACACACACACACACACACACACACAAGGAAAAGATATAGAATAAGAGACGGAAAACAAACAAAAGAAACATAAGAAGAAGAGAAATACATTGATGAAGAAAGATAACAGGAAGGAAAGAAAAATAGAAGAAACAAGAAATATAAAAGAGAAGAATCTAGAGAGTAAGGAAAGGGTGGAAGAAGAAAGAAAAGGATAAAAAATAAACAAGACAAGTTAGAGAGAGAGAGAGAGAGAGAGAGAGAGAGAAGATGAAGGAGAAGAAAATAATAACGAGACTTTGAGAAAGAGAAGATGGGGTTTCAAACAGTATCAGATGAAGAGAGAGAAAAAGAAAAGAACATAAAAAATATCCTGATTAGAGGGGAAAACGTCGAAAATAAAGAACTTTGTAGAATAATGAGGGTGTGAAGTAAAAAGAAGAAGAAGAAGAAGACGAAGCAAGACGTCATAATGGCCTATTATTATTATTATTATTAAAGAAATAGTATTTGGGAAAAAAACTGCTAGTAACGACAAGCTTTTCGGTGCGAAAACTTCCTGCCTCGTCTGTGATCGTGCCCTTGAGAAAGGCATGAACTCATTTCTGAATTCAAAACCGTGAATAAGACAACGGGAAACCACTCCCTTGTCCTTCTCAATTGCGATGGTAATTCACAGAAAATAAGGAAAAGGAATATGTAGAGAAACATGAACGAACAGGGTATTAAAATAACAAATTGTGTCTCCGAAAAATCGAAATGAAGCTATAGATATTATAAATATCATTTTGGATTTTTTCTTTTTTTTTTTTGCAATATTCATCCTATACAAGGCCCAAGAGCTACTCAGAATGAGAGGCACAGTTTATGGCAATATGTGCGAAAGATTACGGTTAACCCGAGACTTGAACAGGTTAAGATTGTAGAGATCGCGGAAGCATCCACTTGGGAGTCAATTCCATAAATAAGTGTTTCGAGAAGCTGCACACCAATGGAATACAAAGGGAATGGTGGTGGTTCGTTACAATGTACGTAACATGACGAGTCTCAGCCATGAAGATTAGAACTGGTGGAATTAAGGAATAATTAAGGAGTAATGGATAGCGACTCGGATTGAGGAATCGGAGAGCCGAGTTCGAATTCCAGTCGAATCCATTACAGTCACTTATGTGCTAATACCCTTGGGAAAGGCATGAATCAGCTTCTTCCCCCTCAGCTTATAGCAGGACAGACCAGGTTCTATAACTGGTCTACCGCAGAAAATTATGTGCCATCACGCATTGCACATAACTGACTGACTTTCCAGTTGAATCCATTACATTCACTTACGTACTAATACCCTTGGGAAAGGTATGAATCTTCTTCTTCTCCCACCCCACCACCCAGTTGATAAAATAACAGGACTGACTGAGTTCTATAGCTTTGGATGTCAACTGGTCTACCGTAGAAAGAAATAGCAACCTACTGTGGGAAAAAAATCTGCCGTGTCAGTCATGTATCGAAAGATACCTGATCGCCTAAGCATGTATCACGCATGGTACATAACTGACTGACTTTCCAGTTGAATCCATTACATTCACTTACGTACTAATACCCTTGGGAAAGGTATGATTCCTCTTCTTCTCTCCCTGCAGCTATGGGTAAATAGCAGAACAGACCGAGTTCTATAGCCTTGGATGAAAACTGGTCTACTGTAGAAAAAAATGGCAACCTACTGCGGAAAACTCTGCCTCGTCAGTCATGTATCGAAAGATACATGATCGCCTAAGCGTGTATCACGCTTGGCACATGACTGAGTTCATCTGAACACATACCATGAAAATAATGATAGAATAGCATGAGGTTTGCTATGTTCCGTCTGTGGGGAAAGGGGTTGTAGGGTGGAAAACAATTCATCACCCACAAAGGGCAGGGGAGATATTTTGGACTCTATCGGGACTGGAAAGTGAAGACTACCATATATGGCAATTGTACGCCATTTTTGACCTGTAAAGGTAGAGGATTGCAGAAATCAGGTACTTCCTGGAGCGGTACAGGGAACTGGCTATTTAGCGATGGATCATATGAACGTGCCCCACTTGAGGTCTGGTTTAAGTTTAAGGCTCAATAGGCGCTCAAGGCAGGGGACTTCCTTGAGTTAACACACGTCCATCGCGATAGGTGAACATTCAATGAGATGAGTTTATTTTTAATTTCCTATTCTGATCTATCTATCTATCTATCTATCTATCTATCTATCTATCTATCTATCTCATGTTCAAATTTATATATATATATATATATATATATATATATATATATATATATATAATGGGCTCTCCCGTCGGTTTCGACGTATGGGGATCTGACAGCTTAGTTGATTCAGTTATGAAATTTTGTGCGATAATATTAAGTGGCATTTAAGACCCGCTAGTGATTTACAAAGGAGGCCAGATATGGAGCAAGTGTGAAGATTGTGAAATGAGATCACTGTTAGATTGGCTGACCTTTTAGATCTTGCTCTCGCTTCTTGAAGATGATTCAGACAAGCAGATTGAAAACAGATGAGTCCACTAAAACATCTTGATCTCCATTCTACCCGCTCCAAGGCTCCAAGGGTGTTATGTGGTATATAGACAGCTGACATATATATATATTATGAACATTTGTACAAAATAAATTTTTAAATCATTGGGTTAAATTTTTAGGTTTCCTTTGTGTATGTGGTATTCTGGTATATATAGGAGTAAAAGGTGAAGGATGTCTTCTTTTTGGTATATGTGTTATTTGTATTGATTGAATGGGTCGTGAATCGGATTAGCTAGGTATAGAATAGGATAGGTAAGGATGACCACCTGATGACCCACTCCCCCTTACTTTTTGGCCATGTGCCGCAATTATTGTATTTTACAATAGTAAATATAATCTATCTATCTATGTATATATCTATCTATCTCAATCCGTTCATACTGTCTCTTCGTCACGGTGCAGTGGTTTGCTTGCCTATTTCGCAAGCGATTTAAAACAATATGATTCCTTGATGGATACTCTTTAACCATAACCTTGTGCTTTGGTAAATAAGTATATTCTTGGTCATGGATTGGATTACTTCTGAAGACAAACGTGCTGAAAACTGCATAATCTATAAGTGCATCGACTTTATGTTCCGGAGACCAGATATTCTCATTTCAATTATACCTGCTGCGTAGTAAATAAGAGGTACCCTCAATATATATATATATATATATATATATATATATATATATATATATATATATATAGTGGAAATTTGGATCACTGTTTTTGAAGCCACAATTGTAGTTTTTCAGTGGTTTGCTACTAAATGCATTTAAGGCAAGCAGGCTTTGTCGTAAAGTGCTCATTATGAAAGATAAGGTTAGAGCATTAAGAGAATTAATAAAAAAAATTTTCACTTAACTCATGTTTACCTCGTAGTTGCATCTATGTAATTAAAAAACTTTGAAGTAAATATGAGTTAAATGAAAAACTTTTATTAACTATATATATATATATATATATATGTATGTATTACAGCCGGAAAACAAAAATTACCTCAACATGGGAATAGTCTATTTCAAGCTGGTCTGTACGCAGCTATCATCAGACCCTAGGAGGTGATGATAGCTACGTTGAGGTAAATTCTGTTATTTTTTGTTGTTTTTTTTTTGCTTGTAAAAAAATACATATGCTCTGTTATAATAAATATAACGAGCTTTCTGTGGATCAGTTTTAATAATTGATATTACTAGGATCCACCCATATTATATAGCAACGGATCTATTACCTGTAATATATATATATATATATATATATATATATATATATATATATATATATATATATACGGTGTCCTCCAAAGATGTATACACACTTCAGGAAAGGAAAACATGTCATTTGCAATTTTATCAAATTGCCATAACACTATTTTCTGTAGTACGATATTTTCTCGACAGATGGCATTACATCACTAGTCAAGAAATTGGAAAATTGCGGCAATCCCTCTGGTCACTTTGGCCAATATACTAATAAATTTATTTTTTTTAATCAGTGAGTATTACGTCATTTGGCCAAATGACGTAATACTCACTGATTAAAAAAAATAAAAATGGGGCGTCTATTTCAGATACGAGTATCCTCTATAAAAAAGTTTGAAGTGAAAATATATATATTATTTTGAATATATATATATATATAAACATTATTTTGAATATATTTATATATATATATATATATTATTACTTCAAACGTCTTTATAGCGAATACTATATATTATTTCAAAGTAATAATATATATATATATATATATATATATTAAAAAAGAAGAGAGGTGCCGCAAACGTTTTTGGTTGTAATGTGGATTTATTTAGAAAAAAATATTATGCTTTGTTTTACATAATTTTACTACGACACGTGTTTCTGGTCTCGACCGTCTTCAGGTAAAAGTGGAGATTTTACATATTATTAAAAATAATTAATTCTTCTTCATGTTCAATGTGAAATGTTCTCGATATGAGACATTCTCTGTTTGTGTGTTGGCAATCCGAATTTTCTTTCTATAAGAAAAATTAATTATTATTAATAATATGTAGAAATCTCCACTTTTACCTGAAGACGGTCGCGAGACCAGAAACACGTATCGTAGTAAAATTATGTAAAACAAAGCATAATATTTTTTCTAAATAAATCCACATTACAACCAAAAACGTTTACCTCTTCTTTTTAATATACATTTTTCTCTCGTTGAACCACTACAACATATTTCTTTTTATATATATTTATATATATATATATATATATATATATATATATATATATATATATATATATTCGAAATCTACTAGAGAGCACATTTTCTTTATTTTAATTTTTCGAATGCGCTGATCGTAAGGCGTTTACACCAGTCCTATACTTAAAGCAAAAAATGGGGCCTCTATTTCAAAGTTTCTAATATATATATATATATATATATATATATATATATATATAGTATTCTTTATACGACACCATCTACCGGTTGAATATTCGAGAAATCATGTCAGAAAAATATACGTCCTCCGGCAGGATTCGAACTTGCATCCCCAATGGAAATGTTAATACTGAGAATAATAAAAAATGATCGGTAGCTATAAACGAACTGCATTGTAAAAGTGTTTTGAAAATCCTGGACGATTCCGATACAACTTTGATAAGACAAAGTTAAAGAATTTATTGTGCATATCTCTTTTTCGTATCAAGAAGGAAGTTATAAAATCTGTGGCTTTTTCAAACTATGAAATTTTGGAAATATCGAAAAATTACGTAATGTCAGGGACTTAAACCTTCTCTAAAAACATTCATATGGGAAATCGAATCATAAAAGGCGAGAGAATGCACGAAGACCGACGTTTTTTAATCATTTTTTACTGTATATATGGTACTACTCTCGATTAGCCAGACAAGTGGAACAAGAGCTAGGTGGCTACTTGCGGAAAC